TATAATATGGTCTTAGGGATGCAAAAATTATTTCGTGGTTAAARAACGGATGCAAAAATTATGGACTTAGGGTCGTATACCAAATGCCTACCGAGTAAGTAATCCACCAAGAGTTACCATTCTAACTTTCCTTTACCGGGTAACAATCCTTGCCAAAATTATTTTGTAGCTATCAAGAACAGAGAGACTCCGGTTCCGCTTACCCGGGTAAGATTTTACGGGTAAAATTCAATACTATCACTTACTTACCGTGTAAGATCAAAACAAAATTGTATGCAATAATTTATCCGGTAAAAGCTAACCGTGATAAAAACCGTCGTTCTCACTTACCGGGTAAGACTCTCGGTCCTTACCTTCGCTCTTACCGGGTAAGATTTTTGGTCCTTCCATATTCATCCGGTAAGGTAATGTGACTTGGTAAGCCCTTACCCGGATAAGGGTTTGGTAAACGGCCCCTTAGTCTTAAAAACTTTACAGATCTTAAGCAAGCAATAGTATTGGTAATTAAGACTGCATTCTGTTTGGGACACACATCTTTGGGACTGTACACACATCTGGCCACATGTGTTGGGACACACATCTGTGGTTTGCAACAAGACTGCATTCTATTTTAACACTGGTTTAAACAACCCCTTTGTTCTGTTTTGAAGATGTTTAAATTGGCATTTGAACCTGTGTAGTAGTAGTAATAGGATGATAGTCTAAGGGCCTGTTTGTTTTTCAAAAAAATCACTTAATTTGCCTCTTATGTCTGAATCGGTCAGACGTAAAGCAATTAAGTGCGTTTGTTTTTTTTTTGAATTAAGTGCTTAATTCATCTGATTAGATCTGATTTATTTAGAGGTAAAATAGACTCTGAAAACCTCTTAACGCGTCCGCTCTCGCCTTCGCCATATGCAGTACGCTCCCTCTCCATCTCTCTCTCGCCTTCGCCGTCGACAGTACACTCCCACGCTCCCTCTCCATCTCTCGCTCCCTTCGCCCCTCTCCATCTCGATACTCGCCTGCGTACTCTCCACCTCACAGGATTGCTCTCGATTTCAGTGAGTTCTCGATTGATCTCCATCGCTGCGCCTACCGTCTTCAAGGTATCCATCTCTCGATTTAAGGTATCCATCTCGATCTCTCAAGCTCTCGATTTTCAAATCCTGTAAGGGGTTTTTGTATTATTTCTGTCTTGGGGTTAATTTCTTGTAGTTTTTCTATCAAAGAACTCTTGATTAGAAACCCTATCCTCATACTCTGCAACAACAAAACAAAAAAAACAACCCCTGTAAACAAGAAAATTCAGTCAAAATGGATAAGGAGAATAACCATAGATTAGTTTTCAACCTGAATTAGGCTTCATTTTCAAAAATTGTTTCTCATCGTAGCACTGAATAAGTTTAACATAGTACCCATTTTCTTGAGAAATTATAAACTTCATATCCCCTGTAATCCAAAAAAGAGCAGCATATGTAACACAATGACATAATATATATTATTAAATATCATTTACCCATGAAAACCAATTATTTCATGTATGCAGGGAGGTGAATAACCCAAAATATTCATGATATCATGCATTTTCATAGTGAATGTTATGCATTTTCATCACGAATAATGCGAATAGTTGGTTCTTAGTTGCCACTTTCCAAGTATTGTCCATCTAATAGTGTGAAGATTTGTGCAATC